CTCTTCAGTGAAATCACACACACATACACAGATACACACACGCGCCCTTTTTTTTCCCTGTCTGAACTTGGAGTGTTAACCTGTAACTCTCTTTTCTCTTTTCCTGGTGATTTTCTCATCCTTCTCACTCCTGCAGAGCTGCAGAAAATTCACACAATAGGACACACTAGGACTATTCCACACCCAGTGCCAATTGATGCCAAATTTTGTGCAGAAAAACTGTATGTTTTTAACTCTACTATGAATTGCAGAGTAATCCATGCCAAAGCCTACCTTTTAATGTTTCACTTTCCCTGATAAGGAAAGCTCCAGGACTATTTCCAGGAGCCAGGAGTTGTCTTTCAGCATCTTTTCGGGTTATGTCTTTGAAGAACCATCTGAAAAATATTTCAAACAATTAGAATCCTTTCTTTCCCCCATCCACAAAGGATACACCACCAGGGTGAAGCAGTTTGCCAGTATTTAGAGCCCAAGAGAACTTACTCTTCTGTTTCCAAGGTGTTTACTTTTGCTACGTAGTTGCTGGGAATGAAGCCTTCCTTTCTTGTCGTGAGAGATTTTGCCCTCCACCATTCTCCCAGCCTGCAAAACAGAAAAGCCAGTAGTGTTCATAGGAAAGGAAAATTGTAAAGTGTTATTTGGGTTCTGCTGTGCTGAGAGCTCTGCCCATGCTGGAGAGAGAAGCAGCATCTCTCTCTGAACTCAAACCTACTGAGAAGCCATGGGCTCCGTCGTTCAATGTTTGGTCGCTGTTACTGAGGGCAGCTGCCAAGTGCTACCAACAGTTCCACATGCGTTTGTATTTTCACATATAAGAGAGCTCTCTTACCATTAATACACTCATGAGTAGGATACCAAAAATTTATGAAGGGGATTAGATGTGTCCAAAGGAAAGCTGCAATACAATCAGCACTGTCATACTTACTCCTCAATAACTTTCAATTTTTCTCCTTTTTTGAAGGACAAGTCATCTTCATGAATGCCGTCATAGGGATACAAAGCTACCACAATGACTCCATGCTCCTCTGCATCTGCAAAGGTAGAAAGCCAAAGGCGCGTTCGCATTATGTCACTGACGTGGGCATAGCACACAGCAGTAAGGCTCCTACGAAAACGTACCTTCGGTGACAAACCTCTGTCCTGGTAAGAGCTGTGCTTCTGTATTCGCCTACAATAAAATATGCCTTTAATTAAGCAGTTTTAGATCTTTGTGACAATCTTATGTTACATTACATATTATTCAGTTGCTTTGATACCATCTTATATGTCTTAAATCGAAAGGAAATGCTCCAGTCTTTTCCCACCATCCTTCAAAAGCAAATTACAACATAAAAATGTACTAAGTCCCCCCTAGATTTGGAATTGAGCAGCTCAGCCCTCGGGAAGGTGTGGGGAGGAGGCTCACAGCTCTGTGACTTGTGCCGAAGCTTTAGGCAGGGCACTTCAACAGGACAGTTATTGACATGCAGCTGTCATGCTGAAGAACCACAAGCACGGTTACGTTGCCAAGATGAAAAAAGAGTAATTAAAAAAAAAAAAGTAATGGTAGTTTGTGATGTGTGTACATTGGCTGAGGGCAGGGGGAGTCCACCATGTCAGCTGGGGAGAGGGGAGGGAAGGGCGTCGTTCGCACCCGCAGGAAGCACAGCCCCCGAGTAAGGGGAGCTGGGAAATAGGGCTTCCCCAGCACCGCAGAGAGGGTGGGGAACCAAGCTACCAGTCGCTGTCTGCAAAAGAGCAAACCCGCTTGGCACCCGCTGGGATGCCCCTCGCCAGCACCCTTACTTTCCAGTACCAGACAGCACGCATGGCCCCAATGCTGGGCTGGTCCTCTCCTGTCACCGCTGCACCCTCCCCTCCCCTCCCTCCCTCCTTTCCTACCCACCTCGGGCAAGGCTGGGCAGCCGCCTTTCCCAAGCGTAAAGAAAGCTGGCTGGAGCTGGTAAGGAATCGCCCGCAAGCACCTCAGCTTTTCTGAACAGAATGATCAACAGCTGGACCCCACAGCTGTTAAAAACCCAGCGCCGATGCTTTTAAAAGCGGTTTTAAACTACTTCAGGTTTTCTAAAGTCACCTAGCATTCTTCTACAGACATAGCTACATCTAGATCAAGTGTCCCCAAGGATTACTGTTTTCGTGCAGAAAACTATGACAGACATAAAGTAATGAAGTAACAAACTGCCAATTTTTATTTTTTATTTCTTTAAGTACTTATTTGTTGAGGGTGAACTGCAAAACACTAAAAGCCCAGTTGTGGACTAATGATCATTTGAATTTCTTCATGCACATGCTTTGGATTGAAATTTAAGTTACGCCAGTCATGCTTTGATCTTGCTACTGGAATTCTCCCCTGAGACTATCTACTTACTGGCCTTTGCTGTTTATTGGACGTTGGATCCCTCACATAAATAGTTCGTTCAGTTTTACGTACTGGTTGATTCTTCAAATCTAGCCCATCTCCATGCAGATTCTCTTTCCTTTTTGATTTTATACATCCCATATTTCCTGTTGGAATAAAAAAGGTATTAAACAAAACACGTTATGCCATAAGCCAAGCCGTTTCCCACGCAAATATTTGGGCTACGTAGCAAAAACCTGCTTCCTTTTCATACACAATAGTTCACGGGGAGAACAACTGGCAGTTAGGAACACATGCTGAAAGCTCTTTTCTGCTGCAAAGGAAAGAAATGAGCTCTGTCTCAATTCACAGATGACGTAAATATTTCAAAATAGTTATTTACCATTTCGATATTTTCAGATTTATCATTTTTTGTCTGATTCTCTCCCCCCCCCACCCCCTACATCTTTCTGATACTTCTGTGAGCTTCAGAACAGATATAAGAAAAATATAATTACTGTGGTGCCAACTTATTTCTGCATGTTTTGGAGAAAAGGCTGCTTCAGAAGATGTAGGAAAAAATTCCAGTGCAAACAATGAGAACCGCAGCTGGAGTTAGCAATGCCTGTATCTCCCCACTTCATTTTGCACATGCCAGTCTGACAGGGAGCTCCGCTTGGTTCAAATCCCCATCTCACATGAGGCTGATGACTTGTGCAGTCCCAGCTCCATGGCAGACACGCTGCCACTGTGACCTTCAGTAATGGACCTCCTTGTTCAGACAGGCCTCTTACAGCAGTCTAAAATAGCCGAGCTGTGTATCAGTGACGGCAGAACAGTACACAAATATTTCTTCTTCAATACAACTTAGAAGGATGATCCTTCTCTCAGGATGTGCATCGATGCTAAATCAGATGAGATACAGCTCTTAGCATCTACGTGGCTGGAACCTGACGGCTAATCCCATGATGTAATTACATAGTACTTCAGCAAGCACATATACAACATTATCTCTATACTCCTCCCTCAGAGGAGAGTAATTATACTTACTCTTCAAAGAATCCACTATGAATGCTTTTCAAACCTCTCCTTCCTTCCTCTCTCCCTCCTTTCAGGTCAGTGCTCTAACGCTAGGTTCACAGTCACATTTTCCCTTGCAGGCACATGCTCTCACTCAGCCCCTGCCCTAATTAATCTTTAAAGCCAGTTCTGTGAAGAACAATGTAAAACCTAAAATAAGAGCTCAGTGTGTATGCGGGCTCAAGTAAACCAGCACTGACTAAAACATAGCTGGAGAAGCTAAAACAGATTGTAACACCCTATAGTACATCTCACTTTTACCTTCATCCCTAGGAAAGAAAAGGTCATTAGAGTAACAGTTAAAGTAGCAGAGGTGTCCCACTTGCAGACACAACTGTTTCAGTGGGACAGTGCCTTATATACCATACCCCTGTAGGTAGGAGAATTACCCAGATTGGTCTGGGTCCATAATGAGACTTGTACTTTTGTAACAACAGTAATAATAACCATAATCCTAGCTGACTATAATGATAAACCAAGGCCACAAGTGCTCCCATGTGGCAGGTCTCAACTTCCCACATCACCATCATTTAATCTCCCACCCTGCCTTTGAGGAAGCACCACATACTGACATGCACTGCCCTGTCCATAGGCTGAATGTTTGCTTCTGAACATGAGAGGAGGGTATCTCCTCTCCTACCATTTCTGCAAATCATCTGTCACCTGTGGGCAACAAATCTTGGGTGTCCATAAAATTTCAACAGTGATGCAGTAAACTGTGATACTGGCTTAAAAGCAGCATGAGAACTCATTGCTCCCCTTCTTGTCTTCTCTTGAATTAAAAATAAAAGGAACCATACAGAAATAAATAGGCATTGACCAGGCATCACCATCCCACAGAGGGAGAGAACACAGTTTCCTCTTCCTGTGTGTCAACATTGCAGTGTTCTCATCCTCATTTGAAGACACCGGGGGCACCTTCAGCCAGGACCTCCCCTTAGAAGCAAGTATCTTTAATGCTTAATTTTAGTTTGTGAGAACACCCTTTGGGAGTTTTTTCCATATTCTCAGTGCTCTATGGGTTACATATTAGTTGTTTTGAAATATTGAGAAAGATTTTTTTAAATTGTGTATTTATTTATAATTGTGGACATGTGGATGACTCTTGTTCTGCAGTTAATGGTTCCTAGGAAATTTCTGTACACCCGCAGGCAAGTTGGTGTTCGCATGCTCACCCTAGACAACAGGAAACCCGGTGTTTAATTACCGGCTGCTGTATCTGCAAGATCAGGTATTTAGCCACCTAAGAGCTAACCTTTTTGCTCTTGAGTAATTCTGCTTCTAGAGAACAAACAGCTAAAGTGGAGGACATAAGGTAATTTGATCTAAATTGTCAGCCAAAAATCCCTTTCCCTATTGCTGCAAGAAAGATGAAGATATCTTTAGAGACTGCAGCTTGCCCAGCTCTGGTGTAAACTCAGAGAAAAGCATTTTTACTCAGCTTTTTTTCTGCAGCTTAAAGCACATGAACAACTGTAACTTAAGCCTGCTGTGAGGCTGTGCTGGTATGCTCAAGGTTAGTGTTTATTTATGCCAGTAACAACAACGGATCAGTAATGCCAAGGTGCAGGTGTTCCGAAATCCCACAGAAGTCCGCTTGATGTCTTGTGAAATCACACAAATACAGTATGTGAGATAACACATGTGATGGCACTAAACAAAGAGAAGATCCCGAGTCTCATCGTGAAGCACGGTTGGTTTTGTTTTTCCTCACGGAGATGAAAGCCTGTAGACCTCAGAGGGCTTAGCTAGGTCCACCTGGTTCAAGGGGGGTTATTGCCCCGTTCACTCCAGCACAGCCCCAAGGGCTGAACATTCAGTAGGAGCAAGACCATGGCGAGGGTTTATTTACAGGTAAGGCCCACACTGCATCTTCCTAAAGCAGTCCTGTTCTTGCACTCCGAGGCTGCTCCACAACACAAACTACAGCCCAGAAAGCAGGGGCAACTGCTTCAGGAGTGGGATCCCCATCTAACTAAAATGTTAATGTAGACACATCCTGAGACTTTTAGCTTCTTTATCAAACAGGCCTCTTAGATCTTACAAGAGAGACATATGAAGAGTATGCAATAACATAAAAGAAGTATTTAGACTTTACATCAATATAGTTAAGTATATGATACATACTTTAATATTTAATTTTCTGACCTTATGTTATTTCTAAACAAGTATAGGCAGACAATGGAGACAAAGCATAAACAAAGTTGAAAAATAGTTTTTAAGCAGTACAAACTGGATCAATGAGCACATGTTCTTTCGATATTGTGAAACGACAGATTTTTGAACTCTTGAAAGGCCACAGGAACTTATCTTTCTATACATGCCAGCCCTCTACTAAGCTGTGTGCACCAACCAGGTTCCAGACTGCACATTAAAATTCCTTAAAATCAGTCCTATGCCCAAAGCAAATGTAACTGTCTTGATTTCAAAAGCTTCTGCTCAGCAACTGCTCAGTTCATCTGCAATGTCAGATGTATTTCTTCCCGGTGCAGCATTATACATTTTTACTGAAATCTGATCCAGGTCTTTTCCAGCGTTTTGAGAGTGGCATCAAAGCAGAGATTCATAGGGCCAGTATAAACTGCAGGCACTGACGGGAGAATTTCAATCAACACACACTGTAATGGATTTCCAAATGCAAAATGCTATGTAATTATCAAATTTAACTGCACAAACGTTTGACCCTAGCAAACTACCCCCACAAAAAAGAAGCTTTGAAATACAAAATGTGCACACAGTGTACATCTTTCTTAGTTTATGGAGTACTCATAAAGAAAATCTGAAAGGGGGAAGTTCATTCAGGCATAAATAAAATATTTCACTTGGTGTAAAATGTTTATTTGCATAACTCTCTGTTACTGTATCACAATGAGCATCAGGGAAGTGTTTTCTGCAGGTATCAAGAGAAAGAGAACAGGGTAAGCAAAGAGCAACCCAGAGAGCGCAGCATCGTTACAAATGAAACTATGTTACTGTTCATCAGAGATAAAAATAATTCAGACATCAGAGGAAATGCTGTCAGTCCCTACTCAGACGTTTCCCATTACAACAGCTTTGCAATACAGGAGATACTACTTTACATCCATGCCTTTCATTTATTGTCCTGCCCACCCATCTAGACATGAAAGATAAACATTTAATTAAAAGATACTCTGTATAACATAGCTGCTAACTTGTATAAACAGATATCTAAAAAAGTATCAGCTTCTCTTTTAACAAAGAGCATACTGTATTTCATGGCTTAAAGGTAAAGACAGGTACTTGAGTTAACAGCTGCAGTGTGGTGACAAGAATCCGAGGCACCCTTCAAAAAGCCACGGGGGCATCCATCAGAACCATCACACACAGCCTCTGCAGCAGGTTATTCCACAGACGCCGATTTTGATGTCTACAGAGGCATTTGCCTGGAATTTTCCCTCCGAATCCCTTGTTTCACCTTGCTACAGCAGCACTTGGCTCTTCATTTCAAAACAGATTATGGGGGGCTAGCACGACATTCTTCCAGGGCTAAAAGCTGCTGTCTACCCCCAAAACACTGTTGCTTTCTCTGCCTTTTGCAGTGCTACCAGCAGAGTGATGTGTCTGAAGCCACATTATCTCCTACTGCATGCAGTCAAGGTTCGTGTGACCACTGCCTGTCCATCAGCCACCAGCAGCATTTGAGGTTTCATTTCCTCCCGACGCTTATCCTTCGCGTCATCTACAAAGTCAGTCTCGTTTTTCATTTTGTTCATGGTCACAACTACTCTCCTCTTTAAGATTCTGTTACTCACAATATTTACAGTGCACATTAGAAACCATTTCCTAAAAATCCACCTGACATGTCAGGGCTTTTCTTGATCGAAGTCAGGTCTTCATGAGAATGATTCTCAAATCCTCAGAGATTTTTCAACAGTTTAGAGTGGCTTCATTTTAATCTTTGCAGAACATGCAAACTTCTAAAAAACAAGTAAAACAGATTCTACTTTGGCTTTTCCAATATTTCAGTAGCTTTAAAAAGAATTAGAACCACTGAGTATATACGCAACTCTTTAATCAAATAAACGTCTGTTGTTCAAAAGGTCAGTAATCGCGCAGACACC